AAAATTTACGACAACAAGGAAGACCTTCTGAAACCGCAGACGATGTCATATCATCCGTTTTTAATGATAATTTAGCTCCAGGTACTCGTTCTGCAAGAGCCAAAGTCTTTGTGTCAAAGCTTTCAGATGAGGAGCTACAGAAGCACTGTTTACCACGTTTAGTAAAATTGTTAAAACCATGGCAGTTTTTGCTAGAAAGTGCCAAGAKTTGGAATGGACTTCACCTCAGCAATATTGTTTCTCGATTCAAGGAGTTGAAAGAAGGTTTATTACTCAAATATCCAGAACTATTAATGACCACTCTGTTTACTACAGATACTCAAAGACCCACCCAATGCGACAGTGACCTACTTTTAGAATTTATAAAGAAAAATAAGCACCTCACATGCAATTTTATTTTAGATGATGARAATGAACAGTCTCTTTTTAAAGAGATATTAATGCCTATGGTATATGAAAAACACTCAAAGACTTTTCTTGACTTTGCATGTGGGCTGGTAGGGTCCTTTGGAATTAGTCAAAGGGACATACAAGATCTCTTAAGAAATAAGTGGGGCAAACAAATTTCTGAAGTTCTTGGAATTAATATTTTCCCCCCCAAGGATGATGTAGTAAAATGTCTTAAAGCAAAAAAGGAGGAACTGGCAAATCAGGTTGGCCTTGCTTTTGAAGAGAAGAGCAATGGTATTGTCGTAGCAACAGTTAATGTAGCAAAGTACTTGGAATARCTGCTGACCAGACCAGGAATACYGAATGCCATTGCTTTTCCAAAGAATGCTATGYTAATATATCAGTTTACTGACCTTGCGCCATGGTTAAAGTGGTCCCGCTTCTCCAATTCAATTACAACATCACGACTTAAAATAGTTGACCCTTACAACCTACATAGTGTAATTATAACATGTGGAGCCTATCTGGGACCAGATGATTATGAAACTCTCAACTTATGTTTTAAGAATCTCTATGACCAAATCTGTGCTACTGATACAGTAGAATTGCCCCATGAAAAGGAGCCCATCAAAATTCACTTAAGAAGTACTGCCGATGGAAAGCAAAGACGACTGGATACTGGTATGGGTACAGCCAAATCTACCTACCCAATTTGTGATGCTCCGGAACACAGCAGTCAGTTGGGAGACATGACCCTTGTAAGTTCTGGCCCTGAATGGACAGTTCAAGACACTAAGGAGCTGGCTACAAAGTACCAATTGTGGTTAAATGGGAAGAATGACAATGACCAAAATAGAAGAGACTTTGCCAAGTTGAACCTTGGAAATATGGGTCGGCAAAATTTAACTGGTGTCGACATGAAAGATTACTATATTGGAGGGTTTCATCTGGCGATAAGAGCAGCTGAAACAATTTCAGACCGTATAGGTCAATGTGCTACAGGTAATAATATTATTCAACAGGTAATATAATTTCAATATTGCAAATTTTGGACATTGTCAATCAAGGAGTTGCAAAGAAAATATTTTGCTTAATGAATTTCAATCTGAATTCAAAAATTTAACATATTTTTATATTTTAACTTAAGATATTGAGTTCAAACTAAAATTTATTATATTTTTCTAGTTTGCAAAAAGTGCATAACAATATGGTATATCAAAAATGTAGCATCAAAACTTAACAACAATAAATTATAGTTAGTAGAGTAATCATTACATCCATGCAATGTGCAAAGTATTTCATGGATATAATGAATGCATTTGCATTCCCAATTTTAAGGAATCCTTGGATCTTCAAAAGTGTACTACCAGGCATTGTCACAGCTTGCAAGAAGTGTCAACAAACAAGAACATTCAGTAATCAAATTTGATGAGATTGGGGTACTGGCATTTGCTGAAAAGATGCCTGGAATTCTTGAAAAGGGTGGCTTTGATGGCATCACTCTAGACACCTTCACTGCCTTCACTAGTGGTTTGAAGTCCATTTTCCATGCTCTATTGGACACACCTCCCTTCCTCACTGGCTGCCAGTTTGAGTGCAGTGCCAGGCTATTACTTGGGTTTCAATTTGTCACAATTTTTGGTCCAAAGTGTGTTACCCCTTCTGTTAAGCAGATTGTTGCCTATACATCACCATACATTGATAAAGCCATAAGTGATGGGAATCTMATTGGTCTGCCACTAAGGTTTAGTAACTTCTCTGATGGCTTGATGGAAACTGCGCACAAGTATGCCAAACAGGGCACATTTCTCTATAGCGGTGGCAGACATGGCAGTACAAGTCCAACAGAATATCAGAAACTTCTTCTATCTCAGCTTTTTCATCATGAGCTAAACCGCATATCTGACCATGAAGAAACATCAACCAGGTCATCTGAAGCTAAAGCTTCAAGAAAACGACACTCTGAAAATGAGGAAAATTACCCTGAACGTCTAAAGAAGAAGTCGGTAGGTACTCATAATAGTGCTACATGAGCAGTTTTTCTGTGTTCATTAATATTCTTCTTTTACCTTTTATACCTGAAAAGCAATTAAAGTCTGAGTTTAGTGAAAATGAGCAAACTGCCATTGCATTTCTTGCAATATAGCTCTCAGGTCAACNAAATAGTAATACAACCAAAACTACAAAAACAAAAACACACACACACACATAATAATTATAATAAGTTGCGAAGAGCTTCAGAAACACCATTACATTAGTAACGCAGTACCTAACAAATATCTTAAAAACAAATCTGAATTAAGTCTAACAATATTTCCAGTTTTCACATAATCTTATCAATTTGATCAGTTCGAACATGTACAAGAATCATCAAAGTTAGAAAATCCAGGTATTGACATTGAAGAAAACCATGACAGCAACGATCTTTTACAAGAGGTAAATATTACAGCTTCCATAAACTCAGGCAGCAAAATATATAATTGCTGTTTAGGTTTGTATCAATGTTGAAAGGAAGTGTGGATCAATATTATTACTTGTAAACATAGACRTAGCAGACCAACAAAGAACTACAGTAATAACAATGAGGCCTTATATATTTCCTYRTGGATCCAAATTAAAGCTACAGTATGAAAAATATTCAAGTAAAAATCTGAGGCAATTCCCAAAGGGAATTAGTTACTGTAATACTACCTGATGATGTGTTCAATAAATCAAAAACCTTTGCATAACAAAATTTTAAATTTTATTTTTAAAAGTTTCTRTCTAAACCACTCATGGAAAATAATTTAAATATAGAATAAYTAGTTTCTATGTATTATTTTGAAGGATTCAACACAAGAAACTGACCTTAACCTTACCTTACATGATATTAGTGCCCTCTCAAAGCAGACAGTACCAGTTTCAGACAACTTTAGAGATGACTGCAACCAACTTCTCCAGGAAATCATGCGTTCAAGCACCGAATCTTTTAACAAACATGAAGTCGTCTATGTGAATAAAGCAAGTGCCATAAAGTACAACCAATCCATACAGTGCGAAASTCCAGCCATATCATTTCATGTTGACAGCTGCTCTATACAAGGCGAGGTCATTTTTCAGCGAACGGACCATCGTGTTTCAAAAGAAAATCTTAGATGCAAAGTCCACCTTATCCCCAGAAAATATGAGTTTGTAACCGAATACCAAACAGTCAACACAAGTATACGCCGAAGAATCAGATTCCACTTCAGTCATGTAATGGGGATGAGTCTTTCTGGCAAAGTGCTTTCCATTGACGTATGCAGTCATCCAATCATCGAAGCAAAAGTTAAGTCCAAATCCAAATGGGAAGCCGATTTAAGTCTATGTACAAATTCAGAAGATGAAKCCAAAAGATGCAGAGTGGTTATTGTCACACACGAGTGTATAGATCATCTCCTACCAAAGTTCTCTCAGGTTGACATCTTGGCATCTGCCTTGAAAACATCGCTGCGTGATGATTACCCCCAGTTTATTCCCTTTTCACATGAAGATCCACATGAGAGGCTACCGATCGTAAAAGACCCAACGTTGGTTCGAGCTACCCAACTGGCTATACTAGAAGTTGCTAAGGATCCTCGAAGTCACCACGAAGTAGAGTTTGTCGTCAAAATGTACATGGGAATTGAGAAAGCTTTCCGTCGACTTCTCCGAGCACGCCTAAAGAACAGCACCCCTCAACATGAACAATAGATATTTCTACTTAAATAAATRTTTTTTGACCTGGTTCAGGTAAATTTCAGAGTCGTAAAATCGTATAAAAGTGCAAAAAAAAATGTGTCCCCGTCTCGCACGTGGTTGCCGCCATCTTGGAATTTCGATGAAAAAAGTGCGCAAGGGCATATGGGATTGATTCTTTTCCTATAAAGCTATTCGCAATATGATTGGCTGAAAGAAATCGGTCAGATCACCTGGTTTGTAAAAGTAGACATAATGGATTGAAAGCGATTAAACTTCTGAAATTCGGCGCGGGATTCATTCATATAGCATTTTGTACTGTCTTTTGGAGTTTGTAATCCTCTTCAAATTAGTTAGGTAATGCTTAGCTGTAGCTTTTTTAACTAGCTCATNCTGGTCAGGCCTCCATACTCATTTTCACTCAAACCTTTGCAACTTCAAACACCTGTAATTTCTGTTCCTTAAATGTATGAGCAATGAAACTTTCAGATCGTATTCATTGTGATGTGTTCTTTMAACGGGTAGCAATGATACAATAAAAATCTTAAGGCTGATTTACACGGTACGATTTGTCGCGCGCGACTTGTAGTATACGATTTTCCTACTACAAGTCATAGGATTTTAAGCGKTGGTTCAAAATCCTACCAGAAGTCGTAAGTTGCGTAAGACTGTTGTAGACAAGTCGTAGGGGCATTTAAACTGCGCGATTCAAGTACTATACAGTACTATACTACAMGTCGCGCGCGATAAATCGCACCGTGTAAATCAGCCTTTATAAACTAAGGAGTTACGATAGCCACGCCCTTTTTCTTATGGTCTATAGATATTTCGATCTATTGATAATAAAACGTTTYTACATACGACTGGTGTTCTTGGAGAGACACGTTCTGGTTTCTTTGGTTCTGGGCTCGTGTGAATCTTGGCGGGTTTTAAAGGTGGTGACGTCCTTGATTCTTGCTGCTGTGGGGGGTGGGGTGGTGGGGTTCGTTCTGATTGTATAGGCGGCAGTGGGGAGGCTAAAAAATGATGTCGATATTTTAGAATCGCTGTCTGTCACACAATAATAGACTGACTGTCTGACTTGGTGACGGGATGAAAAGCTGAAAGGCAGACTGCCTGACTGACTGAAAGACTAACTGTTTGACCATAGTTAATACTAACTATGGATTGATTTGCAACGCAAGATACTTACAAATATTTAAATTAGAATGCTCTATGAACTTTTTCTGAAATTCGAAAAGATGAATTATTGTTATTAGCCAAGCAATAAGTACATATASTTGTGTAAAAAGATAAATTTAACACCGTAAAAAAGTAGYTGAAACTTACTAACAACTTTRGTAAGATGTTTAAMCCACTTTTTTMCGGCGTTAAATTTATCTTTTTACACAACTGTTTCTTTAGAAACAMCGACGCAGCTCACACTAGTTCACCGCTAGTTTGCACCAAGCAATGAGTACACCGTCTGACATCCCAGTAGTCAAATATGCATTGCATCGGGAAAAACAAGGCAAGGCTTCCATCTAATTATTTCAAAGTATTTCTACTTTGTCTTTGTCTAATACATACCCCATTTATCTCCAAAAGCTCGCTAATGTTGAGTTGTTTGTAGACATAAAGCCTGAAYTCATCACTTTGTTTCTGTAGTTGAATAAAATGTAAACTTTGTAATTTGCACAAAAACGAGAAATAATAGTCTCCTTCACGGTTACCTGCGCCATCTTGAAAGGTAGCCGTGCCTTTGCATCGAAGCGAGACAACCGTTGAGCGTGCAATGATAGAAACCTTCTTTCACACCTACAGACAATTATTTACAGGTTTCTATCATTGCACGCTCAACGGTTGTCTCGCTTCGACGCAAAGGCACGGCTACCTTTCAACATGGCGCAGGTAACCGTGAAGCAGACTATCGACAGCTACATTTTGATAGCAATACATGCACAAGAAAGGAATTGATGGAGGTGAAGAAATGAAAGAAATCGTAAGCTTTTAGTATGATTGTGCCTGTGACTTTGATTATGTTTGTGATTGTGGCTGCTATTTTGACTGAAATTGGGTTGGTAATTGTGACTGTATTTGTTTGGGTTTGTTATTGTCACTGAGTGTGATTGTACATGTAGATGTAGCTGTGACAGCAATTATGACTGTGATTGTGACTGTAGTTTCCATTACGATAAAACGCAATTTCGATCATTCTCTTTGTTTACCTTTCTTTCCTGTGCTAAATCATAGTCTTCTTGTTCAACRGCTCTTTTCTTTTCTACTTCGTATTTTCCTAGTTTTTCACCAACCTACGGGAAGAAAAAGGGCTAGTCATAGAGTCCAAACATTAAATGTGTGCAACACTTACCACTATTTAGAGTGAAGTCAATGAACCCGTGAAATACATATTTGACTATTACATGTTATTACTCGATAATTCCATTGTTTTCTTTTGTGTCTATTTGACTATTACAGTTTAATTATTAACTTTTATTTCACAGGATCAATGCCTTCACTCTACTACAAAATAGTGTGTTAATTAAACAATAGAATTAGAATAATTTAGCAGTATTTAGTGGTATTCATGTTGCACAGTTTTTTTAGTGTTTGTACTCTATAGCAACTAGAATAAAGCAATATTTTGATGTAATGTATACTGTCTAAAGAGTGACTAGGGTACTTACTTTGTAGAGATCTGCTATCACTGACTTTAGTTTCTTGGCATATTCATATCGCTCACCTAATAGAGTAAAGCCTCGTTAACAATTACGATTTTTGCAGCGCGATTGTCGAGCGACAATCGCCACTTTGTTCTTGCGCACCTCAAATCGTACGTGTAAACAGCCTTGCGAATGTTGCAGCGATCGAAAATCGCCCTGAGCTGTAGCTAAATTTCAAGCATGTTTGAAAATCGCAAGTGTAAGGAGTACATATTCAAGATATGAATGCAAAAAAACATGGGAGAATGGATTAAAGAAAGAATGAATTGACAAGTAAATAAATGGATGGGAAAATGAATGAATGAATTGGCAAATGGATGAAAACATGGATGACATATAAATAAATAGAAGGGAAAGAGAATGGATGATAACATGAGTGAACAAATGGAAAATGAATGGATGGGAAATGAATGAATGGGTGGAAAAAAGAGTAAATGAATTGACAAGTAAATAAATGGATGGGAAAATGAATGAATGAATTGGCAAATGGATGAAAACATGGATGAAATATAAATAAATAGAAGGGAAAGAGAATGGATGAGAACATGAGTGAAAAAATGGAAAATGAATGGATGGGAAATGAATGAATGGGTGGGAAAATGGAAAAAAGAGTAAATGAATGGAAATAAAGTTAAGAAATGAATGCATTGATTCACATACTTTGAACTGCTTCTTTCTTCTTGGATTCAAGTTTCCTAATCAAATCAGCAGTCTCCGGATCCTAAAGCAAACACCAAACATGACATGAATGTAAATAAAATAACAAAATAAGAGAAAGCGCGATGTACGCTATGTATTTACCTGATACATATCAAATGCTAAGTCATCAATAGGAGAGATAAAGTCAGGTCTAGAAGGAATTTAGATCAAACAAAGATGTTATAATCAATAGTCTTGTATTGGCATAAWTTTTTTCCTGTCTATTTTCTCCTGTTTTGAATAAAGGCAAAAGATGACACAGCCTTTGCCTATAACTTTTGCATGGGACCAGTTCGTAAGCTACAACACTACAACTACAGCTACAGCTACAACTGTTGTAGGGATTTTAAACAATTGCTTAAAACAACGAGTTTACGAAAAGAACAAAATCGAAACAAAAAAATTGCAAACAACAACAATTTTTGCTGTAATATGCCTCCCTGTAATATGGCCACGTTTTCAAGGTCCATTCAGTGACCGGAATAGTTAAGTCTGCATACTATGAGCAGATTCTATAAAGGGCTACTTGGACGAAAATTTCGAATCTTAAGAAAAGACTTGGAAATCAAATAGACCTATTCATATAATGGGTCTAATAATCCTGAAGCAGCAGATTTCAAGAAGATATTGATACAAATCCTTGATAATTTGGGCAAAAAATGTTGGAGTAGATGGCGTCATTTACTCAATCCTTTTGTTCTTCCATCTTTTGAATCAAAATTTMTCTGATGTGGGATAATTCCAAAACAAATATTTTCCCGCAATTGTTTTTAATWGATATCAATGAGTCATATATTTCTATTGCTTGAAGTTTTGAAATAAGRCCATTTTCATGCAAGTAGCACTATAACTGAATTACCTGTTAATCTTTCCCCACAGTGGGTCTCCTTCCATCGAGGCATATGTGTCTGGTTTCATATATCTTTGAACAATGTTATCAACATTTTTTAACTGTAAAATACAAAAATTATAATATCAAATCTCAAGTTATAAACATTTTATTAATTTAAGGGTATGTAGGGTGCCAAAAACAAAGATCATTATGTACATAGCTTTAATGTAAAATGTCAAGCATGATGTGTTTGATTGTACATACAGGATCTGGGTCCAGCGGATCATCATACATATTGTCATGAGGGTCTGCTATCACATTAACAGCAACTAAATTCACCTGAGTGAAGATAAAAAACATGTTTTATGTATTACACAGTGTGAAGCCATGCTTGGATAGCTCAAGTGTGCGACTTAATGGTGTATGAACTTTGCTTTCCAGAAATAAAAGTCCCAAACTTTCTTTAGCATTTGCCAAACACTTGTGCAGCACTGCTTGCAATGATTCACATTTCACAACTTCTTGTGTGTAACAAATTTTTGTAACAAAATTTTTTATCATTGCTTGATATGAGATGCAAAAGGATTTTATGTAATATATAAAATATGAGCAGAAGTCTTTTATGGGCATTTAAAACTGTGAGCTGCAAGCGAGCAGTTTTATAGCCCATAAAGGTCAGACGGGAATATTCTATATTGCTTATCAAATTCCAACATAAGGTAAAGCATATTTCGAAAAAAAAACTTCAGGATAAAATATCATTTTTAAGAGAAAATCGAAGCTAAAGTCGTATGCAAATCAGGACAAATCTCTTGCTCATATAAAAATGCAGTCACGGAAATGATTTTCAATTGTGTTTACCTTATGAATTATTAATGAATTTGATAAGCCTATTAAAAGCTTGAACCAAGTACAGTGAGATTTTTCATGTCACATGAAACAATACATTTCATCTCATAAATTAGCCTTGTCTGTCTGAGTAATTCCAAGTGAGTTTGCAAGCATGTATTTTCCTTCTTGTGAAGAATACCTAGTCAATTCATTCCGAAGTCAACTTGATACCAGTCAATTCGTTACGAATGTTGAGTCGAGTGGTGGGAACTACTGCTGCGTCAGTGTTTCTAAAGAAACAGTTGTGTAAAAAGATAAATTAAACACCGTAAAAAAGTAGGAGAAGTAACTTACTGATGTTTCGGACGTTAATCCTTCACTTTTACTCCGACAAAGGATTAACGTCCGAAACGTCAGTAAGTTACTTCTCCTACTTTTTTTACGGTGTTTAATTTATCTTTTTCAACAACTGTTGAGTCGAGTTGCTACATGTTCATATTACGTGCAGGAATTCCTTTTGATAGGTAGGGGAAAGAATCAAAAGGGAACAGGGATACCTGCTTAAAGGCTATTCTTTTAGGATCAAAGGCTACAAATATTTACCTGATTATAAAGATTATAACGATTCACATGGTTTTTGTGGACTAATAATTTAATAAATTGTCCTTCTGCATCCAAGTGGATTGATTTTAACTCTCGTGCCTGAGATTGAGGAGAAAAACTGTGTCATATTTTGTATCATATGTTTGTAAATCAAGTGTGTGTCATATGGCTTAATTAAAATATAATAAAATCAACAGCAACGTAGTGTGTTAATTTTACAAAGTGTGAATAGCACTATCCATCATTTAAATCCTTATCCAGTACAAAATCTATCTTTCATACATTTACCTTAAACTCTGTTTTCTCATTGTTTGATAGACCAACATACCTAAAAGGAAAATAATTAATATGTAAAATGTTTTAAGGGATGTTTTGAGCAATTAATTGATCGATTGATTGATAGATGGATGGATTGACTGACTGACTGACTGACTTACTATATCATATGGCATACTGACTGGCTGGCTGATCAATTGATTGATAGATGGATGGATTGACTAACTGATGGACTGACTGAGTATATCATATAGTATACTGGATGGCTGGCTGATTGGATCGAACGATTGATCAATTGATTGAATGATTAAATGATTGATTGGCTGATAGAATTTAATGTCCAGATTGATTGATTGCTGTCACTCACCCTAGTCGTTTATATTTACAAGTCAACAGTGAAGCAGGCTGACCAACTGGTACTCTCCCTACAAATATCTCAATCTTGGTGGCTAAAACAAACACAATCACAATTTAGTCCTGGCCTAAAAATGTTCAAAACATCTCAGCTCCTTTATAGACAAGACTTACGTATTAGATATTGATGTGCTAAGACTTGAAGCTTTCTTATTCTCTGTGTATCTTTCAGCATTAAAACAACCTCTTGCGGGTACAGACAAAACCTACAGCACAATGTCAGTGTGAACTACAGTAAAAACCTGTGTATAAGAACAACTATTTTGGCAGTTCAGGCGGATTTAGTTCTCATATAATCTGCAAAATCAGTCTGTAAGTGTTCTTAAAAACGTTTCTAAAAAGTAAGGAGCATACTAGGCTACCAATAGATGAAATCAATAACAGTAAATATTTTTATTTTGTTTA